ATATATATATATATATATATATATATATATATATATATATATATATATATATATATATATATATATATATATATATATATATAGTAACGTGTTAGGCCCTGACAACATAAAGAATTGGACGGAGAAGTGGGGGGATGTTTATTGTAGAGGTTGACCTAGGGATACCTTAATAAATCAATCTCATTGGCACTTAGACCGGCACTAAATCTGCAAAAAAAATTCCTCGTTTCGTCGAGTACTAAACGTATACTGAATCTCGTCCCGATCCGACTATTAGTTGAAAGTTATATAGGATTTCAGTTCTTACTAGAACTGGGTCAAACTAGCCGCATGTAAGCGTTATACAGGTCCATCCATACCTAACAGAACTTTCTGGCATTATAGCATACTACTTTTATGGTCTATGGGGGGCAATATGTGCGCGTATAGCGAGTCTGGACGTGTATTTCGGGTACCTCATATTTCAACCAGTATCTTTTGTACCAGTGAGAATATGAGGTACCTGAAATACATGTCCAGATTCGCTATACGTGCACATATAATCCCCTACAGACCATTAAAGTAGTATACTGTGTTGCCAGAAAGGTATGTTAGGTATGGATGGACTTGTATGATGCTTGCGTTTGGCTAAGTTGCCTGGGTGACCCAGTTCTGGTGCAAACGGAAATCCTTCATAACTTTTGAACCAATACATAGTCCGATCGGGATGAGTATTTAAAAGCATGCGTTCATGTTACTCGTCAAGACGAAGAATTTGCGACGTAAATACTAAGTTCCAATGAGAATGTTTTTAAGGTACCTCTGGCCCTGGGAGGCTGGGCCGCTGGGACCTGGGTCAACCACTACCCCCAGGCGGCCAGGCCCCACTTTTTATGTTGTCCAGTATCCGTGCCTATCTGTTTTTTAAATATATATTAAATATATAGTTTTGGTTTATGTTTCAAGTGATTTTCTCTAAAGCACTGCAGTCTGCTCTGCAGAGTGACGGTCCAACCGCCAGGGGTGTTTTTCAAAGTGGACATGAAAAATGGTGTCAGGACAGTCCCAATGACCTATTGCCTATAGGCTTTTGGTCACATTAGTGTTTTGAATAGGAGCTTTTTTTTGGACTAAACGGACTGGACAAGATCTATATTTCCGGACGGAATGGTCCGTAGTTGTATTTAAAAAATGTCCCAGCCAAATATCTATGGTATTTCAACCACCACAAGACTGATGACAAATATTTTAAAACAACTTTCTATTTTCTATTATTTTGCGTAAAAAACAGAAAACATACATATTTTAGCCTTCTATTATGTTCAATTTTATAGAGGGGGGCTATGTAAGTACAAACTGCATATTTATGTATATTAAAACTATCTCGGATTCTCGGACCGGGACTGAGGATTTCTATCTGGGACAAATGGACAAGTCGAGATTTCATTTGGGAGTGTGGGACATGTGGTCCGTGTCTTGTGGACAGCAAAAGTTCCTGTCGGCCCGGAGTAATTGCCCATTTAAAAAATAAATAAACAACCCTGCCAACTTGCCAAGCGTCAACCGGCCAAACGGGCAAACGCCAAACAGCCCATCGCCGCCGCTTGCCAAGTCGCCAAAATACGAATTTCACAAATGACAAATCGCAATATCAAATCCATATTTTTGTATTTTGTAAACCAAAAAAATATTTACTATACATATTTAAACATAAAAATTAAATATTTACAAAAAAGGTTGCTTGACTATCACTATAGTAAGGGCCCTTTTTTAAAAACAAAATAATAAAAAACGGGACGATGCTTATTTGATTACTGGATGAGATTTGAACCGCAAACTCGAGTGCTCGACTCCTCGATGATATACAACAATAAAGAACCAAAAGGGGCGCCTCTAAATGGCTATGTATTGGTATATTACCGATTTTGACCCTGTGAGAACTCTTTTATTGATCAGTATGACTATATATCTACAATCATTGTTTGGAGAATATAGGTAAATACGAGTGTGCGTTTCTATCACACAAGTCATTCCACAAAGGTCGAATGAGAAAATATTGAAGCCTTTTAAAGTATTCAAATATTAAAAAAGATGCGATACAATAATGTTTTACAAACAGTTGTCGCTGCAGGAACCGTAGTCTGCGCTGTGGTTTCAGGCTGTGGTGATGCTGGGGATGATTGTTTAGAAGAAGTAAATTTGTTCCTTGATAATAGTGCCGCGCAAGGGTTCACCGCCTTCCTATACACGGACACGGATGTGCAGTGGGTTGTTCAAATGAAGATTCTTGATATCTATTCGGGAGTTTACGATGATTGCACGACTGAGGATGGCCAATTCATCGATCTAAATTGGCATGTACATGTCGGAGCATCAGACAATGCCCAAGGTGTGGGCGCGGAATGTGCCGCCGATGCGGGATCCCCACCTGTCGGAGGGCATTATGATCCAACATTTGCTTGCAGTGCCGTCACTGGCGAACTCGAGGCATGTGCTGCTTTGGGGCGAACGGTTGACAACGACTATATGTATATGTGCTCCCCTGAATCGTACGAGACTGATCCGTACTCTTGCGAGGTTGGAGATTATTCTGGAAAGTTCGGCCAACTGCGATTCGAGGTAGATGCTGAAACTGAGTCAGCGGAAGTAGACGCGTCGGGTTCAGATCGATACGGTCCAAATCTTGAGCTCATCAACGGTAGATCGGTTGTATTCCACTGCGGCTCGCCTCGTGTAGTTTGTGGCAATCTGGCGCCAGCAAATGATAATGATGAATGAGGTGGTTTTCGTACTATTAATGGCAACTGCAGAAGGCGACTAAATCGAAAGCATTTATAATCCCATTGGGTTAGGTTCCACCGCTTGTTCGTACGTCAAAAGTTGCAATTTTTATATGGTATCGTTCTCAAGAGATAATTGGCTAGAAATAGTTATGGACGAAAGGCTAGCTTCATTAAATATATATTTAGTCTCTCATTCTCTCATGGATTTTGTGTCGATTTGACAGTTGTATGGACAATAGCATCTGGAGGCCCTTACAATATGTGTGTATCAACAAAATTGGAGTAACTTGCTGTGATAGACGTACTGACAATAGAATGTAAAGGATGCTTCGAAACAAATAGCTGATAACTAAAACGAACAGTTGACAAATGACACATGAACGCTGTTTTGATTTAATTGGCTTTCGAGATAAAGAGCTATCACGTAAAAACACTGTGTAGGACGAAGTAGCTGAAATAACTGCCATTCGAAATGTTTGCATTGTGTTCGCAGCCTTGCAAATACAATAACCACTATCCATTAGTAAATAGGATGCGAGTCGTTATTTGCGGGATTGACGGCTTGCACCTTGTATATATGTTTCCCACGGATTCACTGAATACAGCCATGTGTGCCTCAGCATTAGCCCCCATGTCAATCATTGTATAAACACTAATCCACAAATATCAAATATTCATCATTGACATATTGTACAATTGCAATAATAATTTAACTTTTGAGTGGATCACTAAATAGACGGTATTGTAAAGTGTGTTTGACGTCTGTATCAAGTTTATAGATCTAAAAGGAAGGAAAGTCGAGCCAGCCCGAAATAGATAATTTGCAGCCAACCGCGAAACACAAGCTATATATTTTCGCCATGTTACTGAGTTCCCCTTTTTAAGATCTCAAGGGCTACGGGACTATCATTATTTGAATATACAAACATATTTTAAATATACAAAATACAAATTATACATATTTATATAAAAAACTGGGTCTGTGTCAGGTGGTTGTATTTACAGTACCACAATATCCGATATCGCGATCAGATGGCAACGTCAGAATGTATTAGACCCATCTCTGTTGGACGTGTACAACTGTACATAGAACAAAAACGTCTGTTCAAAAAAGTAAGATATTCGGAGCCAATGAAAGCAATCATCGGGACTATGCCACGGTGGAGGATGAGCGCAACGACCGAAAAGCGGTGTTGCGGTGCAAAGTCGAACGATTCCTCCAGACTAAAGTTGGCAACCGTAGTACGAGCGTCTTTTAGTGCAAAAAAAAAAGGTGATCCGAACAAATAACCCAATGTAGTCGGACACACCGAATACTTTCAAGAGCAAGTAGCAATTCTCAGAGATGTTGCTGAGGATCTGATCTGTGCGTTTTTGTGCTTGCGCATGATAGCTTGTCTACGCCCTCTTGCTTTTCTGTCAGGATTCGGAGTGGTGGTTAACAATGCAAAGTTCATACAGGAGCAATTAACTGTGTTGTAGAAGTTTGTACTCGTGAGCTATACTTGGCCTAGTTTAGTTACAACGCACACCTATCGCAAAACCCATCTCGTATGCTGCGTGCAATTGCGTAGTATTTACCACTCTCAAGTAGTTGAAATCAAGCAACCTATGTGCTACGCACCACCTACCAGTATCTATACAGCCTGCCGGATATACTACTGAGACTATACCGCGGACTTGTGTGAGTAAATCCGTGGAAAAATTGCTTGTCTGTATGACTGCTCGGAGCTCTTGGGACGCGTAACGGCATGTTTCATTGTTTCACTGTGAAGTGCTTACGCAGAGGTACAACCTACAATTGTATGTTTCTACCTAACGTCAATGAGCCGCTACACGTGGTTTGATTGCTGCAGACAGTGGTCACACGTATGTCTAACGCAAGCCAAGTTGACCTGTACTAGACAGTCGGCCCAGAATTTAGTGATGTAGTGTTCAGATTTACTTCGCACCGCTTACTGTAAATCCAGTAAACCTAAGATACATGGCGGCACATTCGCGATATGGGAGGAGGCATTAGCGGGGGTGTATACAAAACGGCAAGAAGGAATGTACATGCCAGCCAAAACCGTATTATTTATATAGAAAAAGTTAACACAATTTGATGTTTAACAAGCGACTTTCATATCACCTAGCTTTGTAACAATCAAAATACAATAAAAAGACCCAGCTGAGCAAAACTATTTGTTGTCTCAATCTTTATTATCTTTATTTTACATTGTGCTGTACGGACGTTTACGGAACTTGTTTTGATCTAAATATAGTACACAGATACTATGCGCCTATATATGCTCAGGAAGGTGTTGGTCCTGTCGAGACCTTGTCCGCAGCGCTGGCTCGTTGCCGGGCAAAGCTCGTGTAGCACTTCTTACACACACGCTGACGACGCCTGATACCATGGTAGCTGACAAAGTCATTCGCGTGCTGGATGCACATGCTCATCGCACACATACGACAATGGTGTCTGCGCGTGCTGAAGCTGAAGTGTTCAGTACAACCGGGATGCGAACAACTATTGCCCATTTCCCAGTCATCTCGGGTCTTGGGCGGTTCCGAGATACTCAGCCGGCCTCGCGTCAGCATAGCTTCGTTGAACTGCGTGCTGGAGTGTCGTCTGACATGAAGTGGTCCTCTGACTGTACTCGGTGACTGAGTTTGTGACTGTGAGTGTGCACGCGCGTCCGCTCGGGCGACATCCTGCATGCTGGACCTGGTATTTCTCACCGCCCCATCTGAAGTACGCAGTCGCTCCTGATGCATGGTAGTGACTACGAAGGCCGAGGGTTTGGATTTAGACACTCTGCGTGTATGCTGTTGGGTGGGACCGGCACTCTCTTCTACTGTCAATTGTCCCTCCTCTGCATCGTCGGACCGGGCTTCGCTATCTCCCATCTGCTGGTCATTGTTACTACTGCCCTTGCCCTTATCACTGCTGCTACTGTAATCACTATCACTGCCATCACTCCCACAACTGCTTCCTTCCTTGTCACCAGCAACCTTTCCTTTGCCCTTGGGGGGTTCCGTTTGGTCTACAGTTTCTGCGTCGTTCGATGTGGTCGGTGCTGCCTCTGGCGCCCTCTCCCTGTCACTGTGAGTGGATAGGGAGAGGGGTGAGTATGTGACGTCTTATACAGCCGATGATATATAGATGTATTGATGTATTTGATATATGGTACATTGTATTTTTTATATTGTACTCGTTTGCGTTGATATTGTATTACTTGTGCAAAAATGGATGTGTGCGTTTGCTAGCGATGCGCATATCAGTCGGAGTGACGCTTCGCCGTGAGCCTGGGGAGTACATTGTCCAAACTCAGCAAACCTTAAGGAACCCTGGTATTTTGCCGCCCCTATATCGAGTGGACTAGTAGCGAAGGGACAAACAGACTGGGCCCAGCTGTATTTCTCGTGCTCATACACCCAAACTATACACAGATACCTAGCCCACAAGCCCTTATGGTGCGCAGTCCGTAACCATAGCAACGTAGTCGCAGTGAAACTAACCCCCTGTATTTCACTTCCCTATGACACTGTCACGTTCGTGTCAGCATCGCATACTTCTGACGCGAAGTGTACCGTACCGTACCAGACGGGCTGTACAGATCTCATCGGGAGTGCGCTAAACATTCATATTTACAAAACATGGTTTAGCGCTTGTATGTAGCTACGCGACGATGGGGATGGGTATGCACGTATAGAGACTCATACACACCATGCGAGATGGTGATGGCATTAGGTATGCGTGGTAACTAGATCGGGTATGGCTCGCGCGGTTCAGCTACAACAACATGGTCACTTGCTCCTGCACGAACTCGGTGTAGTTCATCACCGCGTCGAACCCTGGCACAATGGGGTGGAGGTTCACATGAGCACCAACGCAGCAGCACAAACACACGCACACAGCCCATAACAGAAAGATCACCCAGGTATACCACGCATCCTTCTTCATCGCCGCCATGTCCTGTTCCAGTTGCTTGTTGGCGGTGACTAAGGCTTCCATCTGTTGCTTCATACGCTCGTTCTCTCGGGTGAGTTGTTCATTGTCCAACACCAGCGCCTTGTAGTCGTCGCGCAGTATCTCCAGCGCCACACAGTCGTAGCATTTGGCGTCATTGCCGCCGATATCGCGCTCAGATTTCTTGCGCTCATTGCTGATCTGTGTACAGTATGGAGCAAAGACAGTTTAACATGTCGCTTGTGAGTGAGGCGACGAGTTAGTCCTATTTTTATCCACGCATAGAAATGAACGGCAGAGTCTGTCTGCATCAAGTACCCACAGCTGAGAGCACACGGACCGTAACGGGAAGAATACGCAGTCTGTTTAGAAGTGAGTCGGAATTGAGGATTTTGCAAAGGTTGCATCTTGTCAGACCAGCTGATTGCTGTGCTAACCCATACGGTATGTTGGTTACGTGACAACCGTGAAGTTAACAATGGTAAGTGAGTCTACACACAAGCCTGTACAACCGCACTTATTCAACGACAGATCATCATCTGATATAGAGATGGGGCATACATAAGTGATTATTTCTAGTGCCTATATTAGGGCACCTGGTTGTGATAAAATTAGCATTCGAATTCTGACTCACAAGCCGAAAAGACGGACAACACACAATACAGTGAGATGTACCACACACTGATTCGAGAATTCTATCTGCGTATTGCAGGGACCCAATATGTTCCCACAGCGCACATCGTCTAAGTGCGGCTGGCATAGGCGCAGAGGGGGTTATTGATGATAGAAGTATACACCACCCATAGTCTCACAATAACTTGAGAATTTTTCGCCGACTTAGAGGTGACCTGGCTCGATTTCAAACAGATGACCATGCATGTCCATCACATACAATATCTCACGTATTGTATGTATTGTATGTGCACGGTATATGTATATGTAACTGTATATGTATATGTATATGCAAATGTATATGTAAATGTAAAAGTATATGTTTATGTACAATGACATACCTCTGCCGCTCGAGCATCCAGCGCGCGCATGATCTCGTCCACCGATGATGTGGTACTCAAACCACCAACAGAAGCCCTACTATCCGCCCGGGCAATATGTGTGTCGGTAGAGTCCACTCCGGCTGTGTCTACTGTACTCCCGCTTGCTTCAGCTTGCGCCTGCACTTGGTTCGCATCGGTAGGCTCATCTGCGGCTTCAACTGTCACTGTGGACACAGGCGTATCTCGCTCACTACCGCTATGTACTTGTGCGGGTGTGGGCGGCGGAGCCTCAGCCCCAGGCAGCTGGCCTTTGTCCTGCGCAGTGGGATCTATATCCGTAGCTGCACACCCTGTACTCTCCCCACCGCTGTTCTCAGCAGTCGGCTGTGTAGTGCCATGGCTTCCCTCAGCCTCTTGCACTGTTGTGTCACGCTGTGGATCACTTGACGGGTCTTGTGGGATGTCTTCTGGGCTTGCTTCGGGTGGGGGGGTTTGTGTGGGTGGTGGTGTGCTAGTCGCTGATAAGGCGGCTTTGTTGAAGTTCGCCATGATCTCTTCCAGTGTGAGCGCTGGCCGGGCTGTGACAGAGCATCAAGGGGGTTAAGGTTTTCCAGGGTTTATGGTTTTCCAAAGTTTAGGGTTTAGGGTTTGTGGTTCAAGGTTTAGGTGGGAATCAATGGGTATGAGAGGTGCGAGCAAGATTTGGTGTATTGTAGAAGAGGTGGTACGGACCATAAGGGTTTATGGGCATGAGAACCGCGAACGAGCTGTGCGTGGGTGTACGACCGAGATACGATGTGGTGCTGGAGGAGGTACTCTTCGATCGCAGAGTCTTGCACGAAGAGCAGACAAAGCAAATATTTGATCGCACACATATATAATATGTACTACAAATGCCCTCCTCAGACGCAGGTATATGATGTATTACACCACACACATAAAAACCAAAATACCAGAACTCACAAACCTCTGAATATACCTATTTATAGAATTTACACATACCTTCTTCGGGAAACAACTCGAGCACCTCAGTGTGAGCATACTTCTTGGCCATCTCCGCGGGAGTGCGGCCCATCTTGTCGGTGATCATAGGATCTGCGCCATTATCTAACAGCAACTTTACAATACGAGCGTCTCCCTCGGTTGCGGCTGTGATCAAGGGGGTCTTGCCAACGGCATTTGGCAAGTTAACATCAGCACCCGCCTCTGCAATAGAGCAGATACATCGAGTCCAGGTATGCATGGGTAAGCATGGTCAAATAGATAAAAGAACAGGGTAAATATAGGCAAGGAAAAGTATGGGTTAAATGTCCAGAATGAAGAATACAGGGAAGATGGTCGAAGACATAAGTAATTGCAACCGTACGACGCAGCTGGTATGTAAATTGCATTAACCCGCATGGGTGTCAGAGATCGCAAGTGTGCAAGTTAGATGATTGAAACGATTAACTAGAAACCCATACAGTGCACAAGTATATGAATGAGAGAGGATTTATAACAGAGTATCACATTGACGACATACTCCTTTATTTTTCATTTTGGAAGATATTAACGTACACGCCATCGGGCGCTATAAGAAAAACACGTGAACATGCTATACAGATATGCGCATGTACGCCTTGGCGATCAGATACCACAGTCCGAGCGTTCTGGAACTATCATCGCCATGAGTTTCAGAAAATAAATGTCATACACACGCATACACACGTACAAAAACACACGCATATGCACAAGCACACGCAAGCATACACACCGCACACGCACGCATACACACACACATTTATACACACACACACATATATATATATATATATATATATACATATACATATATATATATATATATACGTATACATATACATATACATACACACACACACTATATATA